CTCAAATATCCAACGAACAATTAGAATATCTCTTACCACATACATTAAAACATTATGACGCGGATATGTATCGTCATATTCGACTTCGTCGGTGAAGTGGACGTTTTAGAAGGTGCAATTCAGATGTTCCCTGTAGTTGTTGAGCTGGTTGCTTCCGTGCTCTGCTCAATGAATCCCATCGATGTTAATAACAAGGAGATCGAGAGGATTGCGTGTCATTGGTCAGCCGAATGATCATTGCGTTATAGATCAAGAGGATCATTGAGTAGTAATGAGTTACAGACTTATCTCTAATTGGAAGCCAGCAATCACGGTAGCACGACAGGCTTTGTTTACGTTCGGCGCGTTTCAGTTTACTACTAAGTTTCACTACGCCTTCGGCTTTATCTTTTAGTGTTTTCTCGAGGTTTATTTGCAAACGTCGGCTTTACGGATGTGTCTCATGAATGCTTCAGAGAAATCTTGTTTACTCTCTCTTGCACGTGTGCCATTGAAAGATCTAGCGATAGGCGAAGATCGAAATTTTGCGAGCAAACCGAGGACCGAGGAAAAGCAGCTGTCGAGTACCAACGGATAGGATAGCGGTGACAACTATTGAAACAATGATAAAGAACATGACTCAGGACGACTGATTTACAATCAAGAAAATCGTAAACGGTTTTGTAATATTTTCTCCATGGACAGTTTACAGTACGCATCAACGGGAGTGATCACTTATCGATCCGTCAGCCTAATGGTCATCGGGCAGAGTTCACGAGTCCAGTTCAGTGCTGCATTGCACACCAGTGGTCCGGTTTTACGCCAGAAGGTGCGGCGGGGACACGTGAGGAGCGGTGAAGCAGGAGGAAGAGGAGGAGGAGGAGGAGGAGGAGGAGGAGAGGAGGCACAGCCGCGTGCGTACACTCGCTAAAAGCATGCCACTTGTGCGACTAATCTGCTGGCACGTTTCTTATGCGCGCGAGTCGGTCACGGCGATGGCGATGGTGGTGGTGGTCGAATGAATAGCATAGCACAGCAACGGGCTACGGCTGGCTACTTTGCACTGGTGGTCGCCCGGCTGAGCAGCTGTAAAAACACATGACCAGATTAAAAGCGTGCCAACGGATAGATGGACGATGATCGTCGTCGAAGTCCACACGGTCGTCATTTGTCGACTACGTTTAAGCCACGTAGTCGCCCGTTCGCCTCTAATTAACGATGATAGCGGATTATTGTTGCGGCGCGCGTGTTCCGTACCATCGGCCGATCGACGACCATTGACGAGTGACGAGTGACGACGATTGACAGACCAACCTCCACTCCGATAGGCAGGCGACAGGCACCAGCCGATCTCCTCTGCGTTCCTCACCTGCGGGCCGTAGAGACGTTGCCATCGGCGACCCTCGCCATTACCAGCCGCCGGCGTGTGCGATCGGTGGTGGAGTCCGTCGTTCCTCGCTCGCCACCTCTCTTTCCCTCCAATCAGTGCTGGTTTCGTTGAACCGCGCCGCGCCTCGGCCGACCCTCGGTGAACGAACGCGGCCGACCAGACAGACAGATCCGATCCGAAGCTGAACCTGAACCTGAACCAATCTGATCATCGTTGCAATCGCCGAACAGTCGTCAACGCATCGTGGCATGGATCGGCTTCCCGGCCAGCAGCGCAGTAATACTGTACTGGTAAACCACTGTAGCGGTCCCGACCAAGGGTCCTCGTCGTGCAGTGACGTCATTGACCAGAGACGACAGGATCGTTGTCACCAGACGGCGTCACCGTACTCGCATTTGCAGGGCATGTTCGAAGAGGATTCGCTGTCAGATCAGACGAAGAACTATACACCGGCCATGGCTGAAGAAGAAAGCGACGACGGTGGCAACCACCAAGTGAGAAGCCGTAAAAAGCTGAAGAGATCCGGCAAACCGCCCTACTCATACATCGCCCTGATCGTCATGGCTATTCAGAGTACGGTGTCGAAGAGAGCGACGCTGGCCGAAATATACCACTTCCTGCAGCAGCGCTTCGAG